TTCCCTACAGGATACAGGCATCGTGATTGTGATTGGTGAATGGTCTGCCACGTAGTCCGGAATGCATCCCCACCTACTCCTATCATACGCGCACTTGTTTGGTTGGAATAATATCAAATTATCAACCACCACTAGTAACACCCAACTTTATTACTATTATTATTTACGGTTAGTGTCTTTATCTTGTCCCGTGTAATTGACAAATTTAGATCTGAGTCCCCTTAGTGTTCAGACTATAGAGTATCTGATTTGGATTGAAGGGTCAACTTTGAGTAATGGCGAACGACATGAACCTAAGCTCTCGAACCCCAAACCCTCTGCTCTTGCTCCTATGCTTCACCACACTTTTGCTCCTACGTACCGAGGCTGTATGGTTAACTATTCCTAGTAAGGGAACCAAGTGCATGTCCGAGGAAATCCAGTCACACGTCGTCGTTTTAGCCGATTACTATGTTGTCGCCGATGATGTCAAGGGTCACCCGCTTCAAACTATTTCTGCCAAGGTATATAGACATACATATACATGAATGATTGTGCTTGCCAAGACTCCTTTTATTCAATTTTCTGATTCTGATTTGTGATTTCTTACTATTCACATGCCCACTTCTAGATCCTTCATAGATTTAGGGCTAGATTAGTTTAGTAGGTTGCTTAGAAATTTGTGAAATAAGGATTGTAATACTATAGTTCATGTTGGCTTATGATTGCTCCTTTCTCCCTAGGTCACATCCCCTTATGGAAATACTCTTCACCAGAATGAAAATGTTACCCACGGTCAGTTTGCATTTACAACTACCGAGACTGGGAACTACGTGGCGTGTTTTTGGCTGGATAACAAACATCAAGAAGGTGCAGGAGAAACCACACTCAGCCTTGAGTGGAAAACTGGAATCGCTGCCAAAGATTGGGACTCTGTGGCAAGAAAAGAAAAGATAGAGGTAACAAATAAATTGATGATTTTATTCATTTTCCCGTTATTGCCTTTGGAATATCTATAATGGATTTTTTTCCTACTGAAGTTTTTAATGCCGTATATGTTCTTTTTGGCATTGGTTTTAGGGTGTTGAACTTGAGCTGAGGAAACTTGAAGGGGCTGTGGAAGCCATCAGAGACAATCTGATATATTTGAAGAACAGGTAAATCTCTTATATATTCATTATGATGCTTGATATTTCTGTTTTATTTATTTAGTGTGTGTTTGGATGAACAACTTAATTGAGGATTTTTTGAGTAAGTGCTGATGTATAAATTGTTTTTACTATCAAAGGAAAAATTAGGTTAAACTTTTTTTATGCAAGTTATTGGTTGAATTTTCATAAGTTATCTTAGAGAGCATGTTGTGAAATAAGTTGAAAACAATTTAAGGAATTATCATAACTTCATAAGCTATTTCCATAAACTCATTAAAGCTCTTACACAAATACTTATGTCATGAGTCTAAATAAGCTATATTTGAAACGGGTCTAATCAGGATTCAATCTTTTTGTTGAGACCTTTATGAAGTTAAGTTCTTTGGAACACTTCACTATGTAACAATGATAGTGATGGGTGGCTTAGAAACATAACTCCTATTAAAGTTATTGCAAATCATTCATTGTGTTGATTAATACATTTCAACTTCTTTTTCCCTTTTCTTGGACATTACTACAGGGAAGCAGAGATGAGGGAAGTGAGTGAAGCAACGAATGCTAGAGTGGCTTGGTTCAGTATCCTTTCCCTTGGGCTCTGCATTTTTGTTTCGGTGTTTCAAGTGTTGCATCTGAAACGCTTCTTTGTGAAGAAGAAGCTCATATAGATATTGCTTTCTTATGACACTTACCCACACCAAATTGTTTTATCAAGTTCTAGAGATAACTCCTACGTTGTATAGTTTTTCTTCTTGTGGATCCTTTAATGTGTCATTGGGTTTTGTGGGTTGCCTCTGCGAGGGCTTTGGTGGGCGTTACTTGCATATTTGCTGAATTGGAGGGTTTGGTTCTTTCTTGGGGCTAAACGAATGGTGTCTGATTTTGATAATTGAGTATCAACTATATGAATTCCTTCGTCATTATGGCAATTGGAAAAACGAAAAAGCATTCAGAGTTCAAAATATTTGTTACAAATGATTTCCCATGAAAAGGACTGATGTGCCCTGTTTTTAAAGAAGGGATAGACTACAATTTAGGAAAATGTTGAGTAACGCAATGTGTTATTGATGAAAAGAAACAATCAATGTAGAGAGCTGTGGGTTAAATGTTTGCTTGTGAACAAATGTTTGATGTATTAATTGTACTAAATTAAAGATTATTTAATTGTATGAAAATAAGTGAATATTTATACCATCTAAAAAAAAGTGAATATTTATAAGTGTTGCTTGTGCTACTATTTAAGCAAATGTAATTAATAGCATATATAAGTTTATTATATACTACTAGAGGTTAATCGTATTATAGTTGTTTTATGAGCCGTAACTACCAACATATGCTTATTATCTTTTTAATTAGAGAAAAATATACTTTTAGTGTAAATTTTTTTTTGGGTTAAAATATAGTTGTTATAATTAAAGATATATTATTTTAATTCTTATACCTATATTTTTAAATAAACCCAATGATGGGACAAAAAAGTCTCACTTGTCCCCCCTACCCTAGGAGAGAGCTTCCTTGAGGTGAACGAGTGGGTAATCACCATTGTTTAAGATAATTTTTTTTTTAATTTTAAACTTGTAGTTAATTTTAAATCTTTTTAGTATGTATTGTTAATTTTTTTATATGATATCATAGAAGTTTTCAATTTTGTGAGTAAAATAAAGGTTATCTTAATAAGAAGCGTTGTAGGTGAGTATACAAGAAAGATATAAAATATCGAGAGATTTAATTTAGAGTAATTTTAATTAAATAAATTTAATATAAAATATATAAAATTGAATTAATATTTTTGTCACATCAACATAAAAGACAACATTACGAAAAAATTTAATAACATGGATTAAAAGAATTTAAAAACTATGTGTATAAAAATTAAACATATCTATTTCAAATATAGAGATTAAAAAGGACAATTGTAGAAATTAAGAATATTTATTTTAAATTATAAGGAGTAAAAATATGAAATAAATGAAACTAAAGAAAGTATTTAATTTTTTTAATATTTTCAATTAATTATAAATTATAATCTATGCTAAATTTATTGTTTCTAATAATAATTCACTCTAAACATTACATTAATATTGATTTTTAATTAGTTAATTGTGTAAAATCTATTGGACTGTATGTTGTTTAAACTCTTTCAATTATATTAGAAGTTTTTTTTTAATTTTTTAATAAGATGAAAAAGTGAAAAATAAAATAAAATTGTGACTTAATCCTAGTTATAAGCAGACATTAAAAATAAATATTATGTCCATTGAATTATAATTACTATTTGTGGTAATACATCACAATAATGTTGTCAAGACACCCAAGTCATATGGTTTAACTGTCCAAAGTACACTAACGGTTAAACTCAAAATCAAGCCACGCCACTGAAGCCAGATATGGGTAGACTGCCAAGAGAATAAGATATTACATAAATATAAAATATATAATTTTCTTACAAACATAACTCATTTATTTGTTGTTTTGCATCGAGAGTATTTATAATTGATAGGTAAATAATTTCTTTATAGACATAAATTATTGAAGTATAACTTTTTAATAATATACTTTTCTCCATATACCGTTAGGAATACACTATTTATTGTTAACCATAAACTTTTAATACATCAATGTTAAACAAATGCAACCTGAATTTTTTGAGGTGAATCCGATCCAACTATGAAAATGATTATAAGCATTGAAGAAAAAGCCATATGGGAGGTCTTTTCCGAGAAGCACAGTGTTGAATTGGCCAACCAGTTTAGTTCAACCAACAACGCATAACAATGGCATTTGTAAATTGTAATTCATGCTAGATAATGACAGAAAAGGAAAACCATGCTGTTTAAAATAAGTTGAGCTGACGATAACAGAAGAAAAAAGTAGAGCAAGGCTAGGAGTAAATAACTCGGTTGTTAACAAGTCCTAGATTAAAATTTTAGATACATGTTTTGAATTAATCAACTTGATCTTCTTGTTTAACAAAGCTAATAATTAGCTTTAATGTAAATCATCTTCAATTTGATTTTTCATTGGATAGAAATGTTTTTTTTAACAAGTTATGTGAATAGTTTTCATTATAAAATTATATAAATTTAAACCTAACAAATCCAATTATATCGTCATAGAGGTACATTTGGGATAAATAGTTTAATTAAACACTTAGATTTAATAAGGTTTTATTATATGAAGGCTTATCCCATACATTTAACCATAAATTTTATTAAAAATTTATATTTAAATATGTATTTATATCCATTAAGTAGGAGATAAATTTATTTTTAGTCTCATAAATTTAAAATTTATTTTATTAGTCTTTGTGATTTAAAAAAAAAATCTTATTTTAGCCATTTGCTCAAATGCTATTGGTGAACATGTAAAAAAATCATTTATGAATGAATCTTTTATACAAAACTCTCTTGTTATTATTTTGTTAATAAGAAGATCATGTTATTGTATATAAATAACAATTTATCTCCCAATGGTGATACAAAAATATGAAAAAAAAGACCTTTAAAATTTAAGCTAAATTGTACTTTAAGCTCCCTTATAATAATATATTTGCAATTTTATTCCTTTTATTTTTAATTTTTACAATGTTAGTCTCTAATTTTATAAAATCTACAAGTTTAATTTATTGGTTGAATGTTAATCATTAAAATTATAATATTAATCATGATTTAAGATTGAATAGATAACATATCAATTAATATTTAATAATATCGAGACTAAATTTTAATTTTTATTGTCATTTTTATCACATAAAAGTGGTACAATAAAATGAAAAAATAAATTAATAATATAATTTAATTTAAATATTAATTATCATGTCATTTATTTAATATTATATCTCAATGAATGATATAATTTTAATAATTAATGAATGAACATATAACAAGAAGATTAAAATTACGAATTTTAAAAAATTGAGAATTGGAGTCACAAATAAACTTACTCTAAATTTAAGGAATTAAAAAAATATTTAAGAGAAAAAAAATTGATGAGCAGCTAAAAAGATTGAATGAAAATTATTAGTAAAAAATTAAGTGGGCTTGGGCAATGAGCATATCCCAGCCCATGGAAGAGTTTGGGTTGAAGGTGTGAGAAAATTGAGTTTGAGGCTTGGAGGAGTATTGTGTGGAGAGAACTGAGAAGCATGGTGGTGGTTGGAAGTGCGGTGGCAGCGTTTGCAGTAGCAAAGCCCTCGCCACTATTCTTGTTAAGAGCACAAAGGGCTTTCAAATTCAGACCCCTCTCTTCCTCTTCCGTACCTTCTAGAAAGCTCGTCTTGTACTCAAAGCCCGGTTGCTGTTTGTGCGATGGCCTCAAAGACAAGCTTCAATCTGCATTCTTACTGTCCGGTCCCGATTCCCTTAACGACGTTCACTTGCAGGTATCTCTCGTAGCTTCTACTTGTGTGCGTCGCTATCAATACCACGTTTTGATTTTGTTTTTGTTAGATAAGGGACATAACCAGCAATCCCGAGTGGGAAAGCGCTTACCAATATGAGATACCAGTGTTGGCTAAAGTCCTTTCCGACGGCACCGAGGTTTGTTCACTTTGCTTTATACGTAGGGCACGCATTGGTGAATTTGGAGTTCTATAGTCATGCTTTTTTCTTGCAGCATTTTAATCAAACTAAATACAAGCGCAATGAGACTTCTACTTTGTGGTTTTATGAGTCCTCAATTACTTCACTCTCTGAGGAATGAGGGTTTTTATTTCATTCAGGATTATTCCCTATTTGCAAATGTTTATTTCACTGATTTTTGTCCATCCTTGCTTTCCCCAATGTAAGATGCAGTCTGCTAGTTTGGACCCGGCTCATTGTTAAGCACAATAGACAATCTTTTAATTTTTCACGAGTCATCATTGTGATCTTTCGTTTGAAAATGCATAATTGGTCCAATTTGTTAGTATTGTTGCTTGACTCCCTATTGAGCTGATAAGCCCATTTTTATTCCATTTTCGCTGTTATACCATGTATTTGGTTGTAAATTGTATTACTTAGTTGTTCCAGTTTTCCTTTTTTAGGCAGATTTCTCCTTACTGTTAATATTGGTGTTTGTACATTTTTGGACCTAACTATTGGGTGGTCAGAAGTTAGACATTTCATCTGAATTTTGATCTATATTTAGATTTATGTAATTTATTGCAAATGGTGACTATTCTGCCAAGGGTGATGCCATTGGCCATTGTGCTGGGAGATACTGAACTGTATGCATAGGAAATATACTTTATGCAGTCTAGAGTAACATGATTATAATTAGTACTTAATACGGAACCCACAAAAAATCTGATTCGAATTTCATATGTATCAAGTATTAAACATGAGTATATGACATTTAGACACTTAAATTTGATGATAAAAAATGCCAGTATATATTGAGAAATGGCTGGAATGATCGTTCACATGAAGAGTTTGTTGGAATGTTTCATGCCTAGAAAAAAGAGATTTTGCTAGAAAATATTATGACGAGCCAAAACTTCTCAAAATTCTTTAAAAACAACATTTGGAATTGGAAGCTCTAAACCATAAGAGAACTTTGGATGCTCGAAAAATTGAAATTGTAATTAAGGTTGGTGTGTGTCAATCACATTGTTGTGATTTACTTGCTAGGAAAAGTGATCATTGTTGTGATACACAATGGAACCTGGTGTGAATTAGTGAAAAGAAATCGTCAGAATGATCATTGATGAAAAGAGAACACCATGGCAAATAAATACTAGATGATTTGGGATGTTGACTTGACTCAAGCTTCCTTGACTAAAGAGTGGTGGGGTGAAAGCATCTGGGATTGCTATTGGTGCAACTGGAGTGTATAGAATAGAGACTAGTGGTGCCAGAGTGTTAGATTGGTGAGCTAAACTGCATTTGGTACTAAGACTAGGGCCAAATTGTGTCTAGGACAAAATTCTAGGCCAAACACTTATATTTCTTCCCCTTAATGTTGTGCTAGCATAATGATAAGGCAAGGATAAAGCCACATAGAATCTCATGAAATAACTTAAATATATCAAACCTAATGGATGGAGAGTACATGCCAGATTTGAACATACACACGTTATAATGCTACCCACAAGAGCCAAGTAGCCACGAGAAGGTGGTCAACAAAGGTGGCATGATTAGGCCTGAAAGAAGGTTAGAAGGCTGGATGATTAGAGATGATAATAGAGAGAAAAGAATGATGATTTGAGGCTTTTGTGAAGGGTGTGGTTTGGGGATGAACTAGGTAGAAATTGGTGGACTTGTAACAACTTGGATATATCGAAATGAGACGGATCAACATATTTATACGAGTATGACATTGTATAGCTAAGAATGACTTAAAGAAATTAATTTGTATTACTTATACCAATAAGATATATCTACTTTTTGATAGTTCATCACTTAAGAACTCCACAGTTAAGCGTGTTTAATGTGGAGCGATTTAGAGGTGGGTGACCTTCTAGAAAGTTTTTCAAAAAATGTGTGAGTGAGGACAAAGCGAGTTGAAAGTCTTGTGTTGATTTGTGCAATTAATCGTTGATCCTAAAGATGGAAAAACATCTCAGAAAAGGCTACCTATGGAGGATTTTGGTCAGTGAAGGGTTCTTACCAATGGGAAGTTGAGTGAAGTCTCAATGTGTGAAGCATCATGGAGTGGAGTCGTTGAAATGTCAAATCTGAAGGATGTTACATGGTGACCACTTATCCAATCTTATCGGTGGTGGTTTGAATGCTGGTATGGTAGCAAAATAGTTCCAAATTTAGTGAACTTGGCAGCAAAATAGTAATAAGATAGGTTATGGAGGATGATATTAATCTCATTCCTTGTTGAAATTATTAGGTCATAATTATCGAGGGATAAAAATGAGATAAAAGACTGCCCTAAAATTGATATTGACTTCACGTGTTTATTATGTTATGATGTAAAACATAAAAGCTTTAACCCTCATTTATAAGGAAATAGGGAAGCTAATCCTAAAAGAAACACCATCTATTTTCTATTATAAGCAAAAAAAATTGATTTTACACATATTAAGAAAATTAGTTATCTACATTAAATTTTACTATTTTCATAACATTCTTCCTTAATTGTCCTTGTTATAAAGGACAAAAAGAAGTAATGTAACAGTAAGGTCTTGTATTAAAAAAAGGAATATTTTAGGGAAGGTATCATTTAATGAGACAAAAGTAGTTAAAATTTGCTTATATTTATGAACAAAAATATATATAATTTTTTTGCTTATAATAGAGAACAGAGAGATTAATCTAAAAATCTTTAAATTATCCTAAAATATAATCAAAGTATTCTCATATTTTTTTCATTATTCTAATATTACTGTTCTTAATCTTCATTTTTCAAAGGAAAACCCAAGTTACTTGTTTGTAAGTTGGTAGGCGTATTTGGGTATTATTCATGAAGTAACAATATGATACCCAGCCTTTAACATTGGAATAGTGCAAGTAGGGGGAATTCCTTAAGGTTTTGGGGTTGGATGTGGTGTCAAATTTACTTGAGTGATTTATTTACGATCGATTGATGAAGACTTCTCCGGTGTTTTATCCGTTAAATTCCATAACAAAGTTTTTATGTGGGTTTAAATTGACCCGGGGTTGAACAGGATGGAGTTTCAAAGTCACAAATGTTCGATGATTGAACATATTGGTTAGAGTTTATTATGTTCAAAGCTAATTTAAAGATTTTTTATTGAGAAAGATATATGGCTTAAGGATTGTCAGTGTGAACTGATGAGGAATTTATCGTACTACTGTTAAACGGATAATAATTGAAGTACAAAGTAATGACACAAATATGCACAGCACGATCAACCACATTTATGTAGACCTAATGAGTCACATTTGATTAATGACACCCGTATTTTCATGATATAAGGGTTAAAGACCTATCAGTTGTAAGGTCTTTTTTGCTCCTTAATTTTGGTTGTAAGGTTGTATTGTGCCTGTTTGCGTTAGGTTAGATGGGCCAATATGAAGAAAGATTTATCGTACACAAATCTTTATTGCGCTGTCTTGTCAAAAGGAGAACCTATGATCTGTGGTCATTGTGTCAGCCCAACCTAAAAGGTTTCCCAACTGAACTTGGACCATTATCCTTGGTGCAGGCCCAGCCACTGATTGGCCCGACTTATTTGTTAGCCATCCTAAGCTTGAATAAGTACTCAGTCATCTTTATATGTTTGTCCTTTTCCATTTTAAAGTTGCATTGCAATTTACTCACCCTCTTTATGAAGACGAAGCTCATGGAACAAGTTCATCAAAAGTTTGATATTCCTATTTGTTTTCTGATTCTATGGTCCAAATCCAACTGTTTGATTCTAGATTGTGTTCTACCTGTTTAGTTTCTGGATTCTTATAAGTTAATTAATCAATACTCTCCCATCTTAGTTCCCAATCAGTAATTTTACAGCTCGTGTGACGTGCTTCTCCAATTTCCAGTTTATGATGCTAAAGCATATATGTATCATTTGATCATTGGTTCTAGGATTGACTTACCCTTTCTTGCAATGTTCATGATCACCAAATAAATAATAAAATAAGACTCAACATATAGAGGAAATGGTTCTGTATCTCATGTGAATTTTTTGTCATATTTTCCAGGTGGCTTTACCACGATTGTCCCCACGTCTAGGAGTGGAGCTCCTCCAGAAAAAGATAGCTGCTGCTCTGAAACAACAATAGAGGCGTTTCAGTTCTGTTTGTTTTGTAACCTTACGTTTTATCATTCAACATTTTTTTGTAAATTTTATTTGTAGAGTTCCATTATCATTTTTAAATATTTTGTGAAGTATCTGTAGTGTATTGAATAAATTAACTACATAAAGTTAAAGAAACTTGTACACGTGCACCCATCAATTGTCGTAATACAAACTGAACCCGAGTGCGTAACGAATGATATCTAATAAGTTTAAAATAAGAAGTTCCGTATGATAAATCAGAAGAAAAATTAATGTATTATCTCATATATCAAAACACCATATAGATTTGTTCCATTTACATATTCGGAGGTCTTGGTTGCATTTAACTTTTTGTTGAGGGTTGTGAAATTCGTGAAGAGTCTCTACTAATCGTTTAGCGGCTGTTCTGATAACAATGATTCTTCTTAGGGTTTGAACTTAGGTTTTCTCAAAGGGACTTCTGCTTACTCATTGCTGAGTCAAACCCTTATCATGGAAGAGTGCATGTTTTCCTGCACGTAACATGTTGGAAAATTTTGAGAACGCATGATAACAAATGAGACACGCAAAACAAAATATTCAATTCTGCAGTATAGTGATGTATTAGGTAGAAATGGGCGTCACTTTCCTAATACAGGATGGATTTGAGTTTATTTCTTTTGTCATTTTAATAATGATTACGTGGAGTTAGGAAATTTAAGAATAATGCTAAATACGTATTTCTTTATATCTATACTGTTTTTATTCTTTGATAAAGGTTGGTTTTATATCATTCTTAATATATCTATGCTTTGATTTTGACAAGAAAATATGTGGAGATGCAACTTCTTTAAGATCTATGTAGCAAACACTTTAACACAATAATGCAAGTTCTTGTGCAACACAATAGTGCAAGTTGTTGTGCAACACTATAATGCATTTCCTCTAACAGTAGACTTCCAAGATGTTCTAGCAAATTTTAACACTCAACTTCGTTCTTTATTTATCAGTCAACCATCGAAAGTGCTTCTCTCTAAATTAAGCATTAATTAATGCTAAGTTACGAGTTTTAACTAACCATTTTAAGTTCTTCCTATATTTATTTGTATTTTTTAAAATATTGAATGCAATTTTTTTTATTGTTTCAAATTTAATATACTTTATGCGAGTTTATAATCGGTCAAAATGAATGAAACTAAATATAATTCACAATAAAATTGTTAAATACATGGGGTGATGGTTATGAATGAAAACACCACATCTCCTTTATTAGCACTTTTATATATACGTGTGATTGGAGGTTATTTTTCTATGCAAAAATGTTGATATATTGTTTTTATTACGCAGGGATGAATATTCCTTTGACAATAATTTGATTAGACTGGGAAATGACCTATTCTATGTTTTATACATAGTTTTCACTATCATGTTTTAGATTCACTCTTTTTAAGAAAACTGATTCATCCTCCGAAAATTTGTCCGAAATATATTTCGAAATAATATATCAGTTAATAATTTAAATATAATAAAAAATTGAAAAATGCTTCATCCTCTGAAAATTAATTCTGAAACTTGATCCGAATGAATAAAAAATTAATTTAAATAATAAAATATTAATTTAAATAATTATTTTATAATAAATTTATTTAAAAATATTAAAATTTTATTTATTCGGAAGCTGATTCGGTGTTTCGTTCGGAATATGTAGCAATACTCTAAACTATAAAGAAATTTATAAATTCGGCATATAAACTATAATGTCGACCGGTTTTTAATCATAGGTGCATAGTAGAATTCAGTTGTTAAGATAAACAACTCCATGCTAATTATTGTACGGACTCGATAATTACAACTTACCTATTTAAAACTGCATTTTGTGGAGTTCTTTTTGAACTGCTGAAATCCCAGTTCCAAATTCATATATATGCTAAAGATTCCTTATATTTCTTTTCTACCTCTCTTGTCCCACAAGATCGACAAGATTAATTGATGAAATTTATAAAAGCAAAGCACTTTAATTAGCTAAAAGTTGTTAAGTAATAGTGGACTTTTCTTTTGCCTAGGTGTAGGGATCTCCATTAGTTATTTTCGCACATTAATTGCTCCATCAAATGAGGATGAGTTGCGGGTAGTGCTCACTCAAACTCTCTGTCTTTTCTTTCTTGCTCTCCAGCTGCTATTTTTAAAACTTCTCACTTCACTCTTTTTCTCTCTATTTCTGCTTTTTCATTCTCATGCCTGTGTTGTGACTCACTCTTTACTCATTCCTCAACCCATCTTAATTATTTAAAACCACTTTTCTGTTTGCACCAACTACAGATGCATTATTCAACCACATGTCCTTCCATTACTTAGGCCAAAATCTCCATCTGCTAACCAAGTTAAAGTTGGGTGGGATATCTCAATTTCAATATTTGATTTTCTTTCACCTTTTTAATAATAATAATAACAAAAATAGTTACTATATGTCTTTTTTTTTTGTCATCTTATTTATACTTGTTTTGTTGATGATTAATTCATTAAAAAATTCTATTAACTACTTTTATTAGGTTAATTGCCCTAATTATATTTTATTTTATTCATAAAATTTGAATTCAAAATTTTACTAAAAAAACTAAATTCAGTTGAATTTGGATCAACAATTTATTAGTAGTATACTATATATGTTTATAAAACTCTATAAAGAATTAAATTTTAAAAAATAATCTTGACCGGCCTACTCCTATCCTTTTAAATATTTATTGTTAAGAAACTTCTTTATCTTAAAAAAAAAAAAACTATAGTGGTATATACAAAAACATAGATACTTTTATGAATCTATTTGGTAAATAATATAGTCGAACAAGTCTTTATACTTTATTTGAGTTTTCAAATAGGTCCATCTAATATTTAGTAAATATTAATCATTGTTAACATATATACAAATCCATTAGAAATTTTTTAGAAATATCTAAGAATGTTATCAAAAGTTTTCAAACAATCGAGACTCACGAAAAACAGATAGTTGTAAATACAGTTTGTGAAATATAAATTTAGAAGAAAAAAAAAATAATGTTGAAAATGTATAATTTAAAAGTAAGGAAAGTTAGAGAGTAATGTATTTTAATTTATATTATAATAGGATGCTTGTGCAACTGGTCTACACAATGTCCTCAAAAAAGGAAAGAAAAAAAAACTGGTCTACACAATAATGAACAACACTTTTAGTAAGTTTTACTAAAAAAAAAAGATTGTACCATAAAAAGTTTAACTAAAAATTAAATGGCTTTTGGTATTATATTTAATAGAAAATTACAGTCGCTTTACTCCGGAGTTATTAATTTCTAATTTTAGGATATTTATATATAACTTGTTGATTATACAATACATAAACTTTAGGATATAAACTTCACACTTTTTAATTCTTTGTCACTTTACAAGTACACGAGATATAGTGTAGAATTCGAGTCAACCGTCATCAGTGTAAAAAGACACAATCCCAGTATAATTTATGAGAAACATATCATAAGAAGATTGCTTTAAAAACAATATCATTCTGATCGTATTTTTAGAATTCTATATTAGTTCGAAAGCACTTATCTTATAATTGGGGGGTAAACAGGCCTTCTATCAAGATATTTTCCAAAGTCTGGCACCTGTCATAGCTTCATACCTAATTTAAAAGTATAAATTAATATTTTATATTCATGCTTAGTCGTAACCTTAGAAAAGTATAACATTCCTTATCTATGTGTAAAGTCGCATTTATATTTTAAAAAAGTTTTATTTTTAGATTAAAATATTTTCTTAATCTCTAGAATTTTACTGACTTTATATTTTAAATTCTATAATTTAGAACAATTTTTTTTAATACATATACTTGCATTTTAATTATTTTTATTTTTTATTATTAATTTTTAACATCATTTTTATATGAGTAATATGAACTTATTAAATTTATGTAACGATGATGTATTTGATTTGTAGATGGTAATGAGTCACTTAAATGAAAAAAAATGAAGTGTGAATGATTTTACGGACAGTTGATATTTACTATGATTGAATATAATCTAGATAAGCAATCACATTATTAATGACTATGTAATAAGTCATTAATTCACACATTATCTTCTAAAAAGTCAAATGTATTGTTATCACATGAATTTAATAAGCTTATGTCACTCATAGATAAATGACATTATAAATTTATAAGTAATCAATATTTATTATGATCGAATGTGATCCATTAAGTGACATTATCTTACAAAAAATCAAATGCATCGTGCCACATAAATTTAATAAAAAAAATTATAAAGAAACTAATAATAAAAAATAAAAATGATTAATAAAACATAATAAATATAGGAATTAAAAAGTCTTTTTAAAATTATAAAAGACTAAAAAGTAAAGTAATATAGACGCTAAAAAAGTATATTAATCATATTTTTATTTGGATTTTCATTTTTTTGAATGTTTGTATTTTCAATTATAAAAATATCACATTTTTTTTTACTTTTACATATTTACATATAAAAATGCAAAAATAAAAATTAAGTTTACTGTTTATTATATAAGTAAATATTACTAATAAATCGTTGTTTCAAAGAGCACCACATTTAATCATCCTAAATAAACTCTCATACTTGAGACTTAAAAAAAATATAATTAAAAGATAAGACTCTATCACTTTTTCTAACTTATATTAGTCATCGACATAATTAATAAATATTTTGAAGCGTCAATAAAGTTATAAGAAGAATGTGATATTTTTATTATTAAAAATAAAAATAAAATTAAAAGAGTAAACATACTTTTCAAAACATACACACGCATTAATATAATTGAGTTCTTTAAATCTTATTTATTTCAACGTCTAACTTATTTAATTCATTTTGGCTAACTTTTTAACATCCAATAAAATGATTCTTTTTTTGTTAATTAGTTTCATCCAACATTTTCAATATATTTTTTTAATTCACTTAATATTGTTATTTAATATATTTTCCCTTTAAAAAAAAATCATAAAATCAAATATTCAACACATCAATCAATATTCAAGTAAATAACACACACATAATACAAACCAAATGACTCCAAAAAGTTAAATCTAAACATAAAATATATAATAATTAATACAAACAACCAAATATTCAAGCATATAAATAAATAATATTCATGTAAATAACTAACAAAAAAAATCTATTCAAGCACT